TTCCAAAACACAACTTAAAATACATATTCTAAATATCACTTCCAAAACACAACTTAAAATAAATATTCTAAATATCACTTCCAAAACACAACTTAAAATACATATTCTAAATATCACTTCCAAAACACAACTTAAAATAAATATTCTAACTTTCACTTCCAAAACACAACTTAAAATAAATATTCTAAATATCACTTCCAAAACACAACTTAAAATATATATTCTAAATATCACTTCCAAAACACAACTTAAGATACATATTCTAATATCACTTCCAAAACACAACTTAAAATACATATTCTAAATATCACTTCCAAAACACAACTTAAGATACATATTCTAATATCACTTCCAAAACACAACTTAAAATACATATTCTAAATACCACTTCCAAAACACTACTTAATATACATATTCTAACTATAACGTCCAAAACACAACTCAAGAGACATATTCTAAATATCACTTCCAAAACACAACTTAAGATACATATTCTGATATCACTTCCAAAACACATTTCTTTGTTTTTCAAATATTGTTGTGCTTACTGGAGCTGCCAGTTCATTTTTTAACCAACATACATACAAAACATCTTATATTACTCTATACAATTTATTTGTTATGATCCAATACCTTGTCTGGCAGCTTCATAAAGGATACCACCCAACATTCAGATGTAGCTTCCAGGTTTAATATGTTTTTTTTTAATGTGTTTATTAAAAAAACAAATATTTTTACCACCATAATTATTTGTGGAACTTTTCACCTCTTAATTGTTAAAATACATGAAAATAACTGAATTCTATATTGTTACAAATCAATATTTTATCTCCTAGATAATAGTATAACTAGGTAGCAGCACTAAGCTTACTGCAAGCAATCTGAAAAAACAAACAAACAAAAACAATTATCCTAAAATACAAGGAAGGTTTTATTATTGTCCTAGTAAAATCCATTTCAGTACACAAAGTTTAAAGGGCAACCACAAATGTCAAGAAACTCGAGCATATTTAAATGACCAACTTTTTTATATAAATATTAAACCATGAATTAATTATACAATTGACATAAACTTCTATTAATGTTAACTTTTGCTGAATGACTTTATTTCGATTAGATCTTTCTGTTAAATTCCACTCTCTTTATATGCAAACAGCTCAGGACTTACTTTAAAAATGTTTACAATTAATGATAGAAAAACAAGTTTGAGAGTTGCTTTTACTATTAAGAAACACCACATAAGTTATTTATTCCACAATAGCTACTTCCTGATAGTTCACGAACAGTAAGTTATTTTCTGTTATATTCACTAACCTTGATAATACGGAGAGGCTTGCAAGGGTTGTTAATATCCAAGTAGTTGATAAAACCAGATAGGGATACAGATAAAATATAATTTCCTTGCCAAAGACAACTGACTTGTTGATCCAATATATCCTTCCCAAAAGTAAATTCTCTACATAACAATAAAAATATCATATTTTACAAACCGCATCTGACCAATGTCTACCAACCTTGTTTTCGCTGTTTTAGTTAGTAAAACAGTTATTCCTAAGATGTTATCGATCTATTGGTATGTCCGGATGATGCTTTGAAATAATATCTATCCTGGCCAGTACTATGTTTGCTTATTAGTATATTAAAAACCCATATTTTTGTTAAACTGACACCAAACATTGGCTTTATTTTTTAAAAACTTTTATACAGAGTATGAGTTTCCATGCTAAACAATAAATTGTGCTAGCCTCCTCCCCTCTCTTCCAACACACACATGCATTTTGCAAAGTATGTTATCCAGAGTATTTTTCACATACAAACATTGAAGAAACAATACACAGAAATTAGCTGAGATTCCTCCTTACAGTATATCATGAGAAAGCTCTCTCTGTATTACAGTATATCATGAGCCAGCTCTCTCTGTATTACAGTATATCATGAGACAGCTCTCTCTGTATTACAGTATATCATGAGACAGCTCTCTCTGTATTACAGTATATCATGAGACAGCTCTCTCTGTATTACAGTATATCATGAGACAGCTCTCTCTGTATTACAGTATATCATGAGACGGC